GGGGTAACGTTACATCACGAATCCCAATTTGGTCCGTCGCAAGCAGCATTTGCTGCTTCCAGTTGACGAAAACTGGTGGTGGCCCCGACGGAACTTGACGCATTTCTGGGACGCAATTTGATTTATGGGTCCCTTTCACCACCGCGCCCATTTGCGACACGTCCAGCTTCACGTTGCACTTGGTCCGTCGATAAGCGCTGCAGCAGTAATGCTTTGTGTCGTGTCTGTGGTAATATCCCTGTTGACAGCTTCAATTTGAAGACCATCATTCTCGTCCCTGTCGGAGTTGGATGATTGACTTGGTATAATAATTGTATCCACGCTCATGTCAGAGGCGTGATCAGAACCGTGGATGTGAGTGTCCCGGTCACTGTTGGAATGGATATCAGAGTCGGGACCAGAACAGTCGGATTGGAAACCAGAGTAGCGATAGCTTGAGTCGGGTCCATCCGAATGACGGGTGTCAGATGACGAATCACTGGATGAATGCTGGTCGGCCATTATGATTGACGCGGTGTGGAAGGGGGGGGGCAGGAAGAATTAACAGTGAGGTCTTTGGAGAGGGGTCTTGCTTCAACAGGCCCTTTATGCGATGATACACGCGATCCTTGGGCGTTTTCATTTTTTCGTTTTGTTGTAACTAAAACAGAAGTGCATATCCCAAATTTGTACATCCCAAATTGTGGTTTCGTAACGGCATTAGCTCGATTTATTTAGTATTGAAATATTGAACTGTTCGGATTGGTTACAACAAAGTTAATATTTTATATTTACTGATTAAGAATGTATTATGATAGGCGATAAGACTCTACCTGTCTGTGATGATAAAATTTGACCGTTGGTTGACCCTTAGCGAGGGTTAAGGAGAATTGATCCAAATTTGACCCAATCATATTAAAGCCGTAAACATCCCAGCGCTAGACCACTGATCTCATTAGGTGATCCTCAGGATAGGAACCCCCACCTCATTGTATCGTCGTTTCTTTGGTGTGATAGTCAACGATGCTCGGATGATTTCGTTGGAAAAAACTGCAGGCGTAGGTGGTAAATGATAGAGACCGAGTCTTGTCCTGACAGGGCTGATTGCCCGACGCTTCAATTAATGTTAGTGATATTGTTATCTAAGGTGCTTTACGCCGGATTGGCCGCAACATGTGACTGCGGTATTGACACATTATATCTAGTGATGGTGGTGGTGGTGGTGTGTGTAAGGGGGGGATAGTTTATGCCGAGAACTGGCCTATGGTCAACCTTTGAGTTACACGCATGAATCATGTCACCGCAACACCATTAGACAGGATGCATGTGTTACCTAGTTTAATGGTACTAGCGCGATTGTGCCCGATGACAACGGCGACGGAACGAGGACAAGTTTGGATCACGCGGCTGATTATAAAATGCGTCACGATTACGGGGTTGATGTAGCGATGGCCAGTGTAAGGAATCTCGAAGGAGTTAGTAATAGGCACGAAAGCCGCTTGATTCACCTCGCGTTAATATATATTCGCTCTAGGCAGCAAGTCGCCCGATAGCATGCAACTTCAAGCACAGCAGCATCTTTAGAACGAGAGGAATTGCTTAACTCTGTACACATAATCAAAACTCTTTAACATCATTCCGTATGTAGTATATATATACATATTATCATACAACTAAATTGCTCCTTCCGCTGGGAGCAGGTTGGATGGAAGCACCATTTGCTCCCAGCGCAGAGCATAGTGGGCCCACTGCACGAACAAATACTGGGCATGCAATTCGCTTTCGCACCCTCCCCAGTGATCGTACACAACGTCAACAGTCCTGCCGTCTACTTCTGCAATAGTCAGTTGCGCTCCACCTTCCGTGATCCACTGCACCTCGTCCTCATCCGCTTCTGCCAAGCGGCTGCGCTTATTGGAGTCGGAGTCTGCAACTCTCATCGTGTACGTGATCACACGCTTTCCCTCTCGTTCTGTCCATCGATGACGTCGGACAAGACAAATATACCGTAGGTTTATGCTACCTTGAGCATTGTGCACCAGTACGCACGTGTTGTCGTCAAATTCTTGCAACACTTGAACACTAGCTCGTCCCATGACGCCGCTCCAGTCCATTGGAGTAACAATTAGAGGCCATGAATTTCGGTCCTCCTTACTCATCACGTCGTCCACTTCAAGCAAAGAACATCGAATTCGCTTCGTAAATCTCGACTTGGCAACAAGCGAGTGATCCTCTACAGTGGAACTGGCCGTCGCCTGGAGCACATTCCATCCGAGAAACTCTCCACCCAAGTTGACAGTAGGCTCTGCCTCCAATGAAGAGGTGCACGCGTCCATGATGGAATCAAACGCATCACGAGTGAACGGATGGAAGTGGAAGCTCGGTTCACCACTGGGAAAACGAACACGCCATCCTGAATGCTCGTCGGTTGACGGTAAAAGGGACTCGTCTTGTTGAGCGTTGTCTTGTTCAGCCTCTATTAGGACTTGCTTAAAGGCGGTGTGGAGACTGACTTGCTTGCGAAGAGCCCCATTCTGTTGCCGAAGGTCTTCAATCTCGACGAATAGCTCACGCAAAATATTGACACGAGTGCTGGAGCCAGCGTTACGGCTAGCTAGAGCTCTCACGCTGGCTGCAACTTGCTTCGCGTGCTTCTCCAGTCGCCGACATTCACCACGTAAATCATCTTGCTTGGCCTTCCTCTTGCGTCGGAACTTGACCATTTCGATGCGATGCAGTCGACGCTTCTGCTCCTCCTTGTCTTCTAGAGCCCAGGTATCGCTCACGATATCTGCGACGTCTGCGAAGTCCACAGTATTCAACGCCAGCATTATTTGTCGATGACAACGCGGGTAACGTGACCAGCAAAAGACGATAATGGAAGTTGAGGCGACGTGTGACGTGAGCTCTCGAGGAGACACAGGCCCGAAGAAGGTGGAGTCAGAAGTTGTCCAGTAATCGTTGATTAATTTTGAGCG